ACTATTTATAGGTCCTACTGTGAAATACATAAAATGTAAATGTGTTAGGAAATAACATAAAAAATCTTTTGCCTGCCTCCCCCATACAATTCAAAGTTTAAAAAAGCCTAGGCATTTGTACAGATACATTATCTCCACTGAAACATTTCAAGAAATTTTGAGTTCCTACCTTGTGGCAAGAGCATTTGTCTCTGCTGGAGAATCAGCCTCAGTGAATCTTGATCTGGAGCAGCTGCTGAGGCTTCCAAATGCTGTCCTTGCTTTTATATACCCAGAGGAAACCATTTTATCCTATAACAAGAAACTCTCCCAAAACATTGCCTTTTCTTAAAAATTTGATTTTTTGATGTCTTGTGATTAGAGATACTTGAGTGGCAAACATGGAAATTTATTTCTGTAACATGACATTGCTAAAACTGTGGGCCATGTGATTATTTTGCTCTGTTGTTTCCTTACACCTTTCAAGAAAGCTCAGCTGAGTTATACAAATGTAATCTGCTCCAGGTCTTTCTCTGTAACATGCAGAACAAAAATTTTTGAAGGATTATATCATCTACATTAGTTTTCTATTTTGGACCTTGACATGCATATTTCTAAAAAACTTGTCCAGATTCTATTGAGTTCCATATCCAATAGTGAGCGAGTCACTGTTAAACAAATGTTCATGCCTTCACCACTCTGAGATAATCAACCTAGAAGGCACCCTTGCATAAGTCTAAGATGTAATATATGCCTGACCTTGATCAATCCTCCTACCTGACACTTCTTTGGTACCTCAGCACTGTATCTTTTGTAGGGATACACCTCTAAATATTTCTTAGTCTCTCTCAACATGTGCCTTAAAAGCATCTTAATGTATAGAAACTACATAGCCTCAAAATTCAGTTCATTATGCCAGAAGTATAATATTATCAGTCCACTTCTGAGCTTTTCTCTTTTCCATATATCAGTCTATGAGTGTTCAATGTCTTCAATAATTTTTGTGTGGATTACTTTTGTGAGTGATCCCTTTTCTTAACTCTTGAAGATTTCTCTCAGTAGTTTGCTTCGTTTGGGAGTTATTCCAGTTTGCTTTCTTACTTTTTCTTCTTGTTCTCAGTTAAGTTCCTTTTGTTCTTATTTGCCGTTTCTAAACCAGGCAAAACTAAAATGTTGCCCTCTTTTCTGGTATGATTATTGTGAACAATAAGATGTTTGTGGATGTGTGTATGTATATCTTCTTTAACACTGAACTGTGGGTTCTCTAATCTCCTAAGAATTCTTCTGTTTGAATACCTCTTATTTTCTTGTTTCAATCTTCATTTTTTCCCTTTCATATTACTACTGTTCTAATTCAGACTACACGACCAACGCCTACTTCTAAAAGTAATTGCAAAACATGGACCTGCTTTCTAAATTCATTTCAATCCTCCTTTAGTCTTTGAGTAAATTATTTCTAGTGGCAGAATGTTCCAGGTGCAATCCTGTTTTAAACATATTTCTTTGCCTTTGGAAATCATTAGAAAATAATTCCATTATATTTTTACTCTACCATAACTTATGAGGTATCTATATTTCAAATATAAGCAAATGCAATATTTTCTGTATATCTTACCTTTTCTTTGGTAAAACAGACAATTTTACTATGAGTTGAACACACAGTCCTCATATAATGGGGAATGAACTAACATTCAGATTGCTTCACTAGGTTAATCGTATGCATTCCTAATATGCAAAATTCTCTATAAGGATGTAAGTAGGGAATATACAGCTTATAAATATGAAATAATTCAAATTTTTTAGAATCCATACATATCATGGCTTCTTTTTCATTGAGTCAGGTCAAAGTCAGGCTATAGAGTACCAGGACACAGCTAGGTGTTATCTTTGAACTAGAGGAAGTAATCTCACATTTATGTGCTTTATAGTTACAAACTTCATACCATCTCTTTTAATTCCACAACAAGTCTACGAAGTTAATTCATTAATTCAATTTTCAATAAGTCTTTATTTTGTCAAGCAGTACCCATGGGTTCTGGGATTATGACCGTGAACAATACAGTCTCTCTTTAAAAAAAATTTATAATCAATGTTTACAGGAAAAGTGTATTAGTTTTCTATTGCTGTATAAAAAAAAATACCACAAAATTAGCAAATTGAAACATCACCCATTTGTGAGTACACAGTTCTGTAGATTAGAAATCTGGGCAAGGTTTAATTAGGTTCTTTGCTTAGGATGTCACAATGCCAACCTCAAGGTATTAGCCAGGCTAGTCTCTTATCTGGATGCTCTAGGGAGAAATCTGCTTAGAAGATTGTTCAAGTTGTTAGCAGAAGTGCATTCCTTAAGGCTATAGGAGTGAGATCCTTATTTTCTAGCTGGCTGTCAGCCTGGGATAATTTTCTTTACTGGGGATTTCTCATCTCTAGTGTCTCTTCTCAGCCTCTGGAAGTTACGTGATTCTTTAACCCTTTTCTGCTAAATTCTGTTCACCCATATAGCAGACTGAACTAAAGAAAATACAAGCATCTCTCCCCACAATTACATTTCTCAACTCTTTTTATAATATTCAGCAACTGGAATCATTGAAATTCTTAATGAAGACTTTTTAAAGTTATTTATTTTGTTTTTAAATTATTTTTGAAAATGTGTATCTTGCTCAGGTACCTTATTTTAGATTGTCTTACCTATAGTATCTTCACGTAAACACACAATAACTAGTCACGGTTTCCAATTTAACATCATGCAGGTTATTGTAGTAGTAAGATTCTCTTTTAGATGGCGAAATAGACAAGGTAATCAGCAATAGGTTCAAGGGCTATAGAAATATCAGGAAAGATATGGAATAGGAGAGAAAGAAGTCACTGGTTATAGTTTAGATTCAGAGAGCATTTTCAGTTGTGCTGTGGAAATAAAAGCTAGATTGCAGGGGATTGGTTAGAAAAAGATTATAGAAAAAATATATAGTCTGGGCACAGTGGCTTATATCTGTATTCCCAGCACTTTGGGAGGCTGAGGTGGGAGGATCAACTGAGGTCAGGAGTTCAAGACCAACCTGGCCAACATAGCCAAACCCCATCTCTACTAAAAATATGAAAATTAGCTGAGCCTGAGGGCGCAGACCTGTAATCCTAGCTACTGCAGAGGCTGAGGGAAGAGAATTGCTTGAACCCAGGAAGTAGAGGTTGCAGTGAGCTGAGGTCATATCACTGCACTACTGCCTGGGCAACAAAACAAGGCTCCATCTCAAAAAAAAAAAATAATAATGTAGATGACTTTCTCCCTAGGGTGGCTTGTGGAGTCCTAATTTCACATCCTGTTGAGCACAATAGACATGCCAACAGTCTCTGGAAAGGATTCTGGGCTCACGGTTCCACTCTACCTCTTTTCCATCTATTCAGTGCCATAACCCATTATGTGGGGGTTTGCAAATGGACATTCTGGCTTTAGTCACAAATATGCAGGCTGTTGTTGTGTACAAAGGGAGTCAATATTTGTCTTCTTCCTAACTTCATACCACTCCATTAAACAACCTGAAAGAAATCATCCATACCAGGGAGCCAACTAGTCTATCCCAAGTGTTCTTTGTAAAACACTTTTGAAAACTAGAATTTCATTATGTAAGCATTACAAATTGGCAGGGGGACATGAGGGCAGAAGTAAAGAGAGCATGGCCCTGGAAACTGGTGTGAAGGCAACCTAGAATCCTGATCATGAGAACTCTGAAAACAGTCAAAGCAAAAGAGGACTGCCACACTAAGAAAGTGACCCAGTAGGACAGAGAATGGACACAGGGTCAGGCTATCTCTTTCAGTAACAATGATGTAGAGCATCTCTCTTCTAGACTCATGCCATCCTTCAGGATATTTTGAACATAAAACATACATGCACATGGTAGAATTAAATGGTTTGGAGCTATGGCTAATAACCCAGGTTTTTTTTTTTTTTTTTTTTTTTTTTTTTTTTTTTTTTTTTTTTTTTTTTTTTTTTTTTTTTTTTTTTTTTTTTTTTTTTTTTTTTAACATCAGCTGCATCTTCCCAATGCAGCAACATGTTATTTCAGCCAATTAATTCCTGACACAAACTGTAAAAGAATGACCCTAGGCACTTTCAGGTTACTGATGCTGTTAGAGATTTTTCTTCATCTTTTTAACATCAGGTATATTCTAAGGCAATTAGAGTTAGAAGAATGTCAGAGAGAAAATATTAATGGGACTTTAGTGCCAACCATTCACACACTAGTTTAGTTTTGTAACTTTCCTTTCCTTTCTCCTAAGTCTCCAACTTCCTCGGAGCTCACAAGGAGTAAAAAAAGCATGTCAGCAAGCCTCTACTTTATTTCACTAAAATGCTTATAAAAAAAGAGTTTTGCAAATCTAGGGAGAAATTATTTTCTTTGAAGTGACAGAAACATAAGCCACGATAAGGTTTGGGGGGGAAAGGAGCTAGTTTGGTTTTGGGCTTAAATTTTAATATCCCATTCAAAATAGCGGAGTTAGACATGCTATTTCCCAGATTACAAGATTTAAATTATTGCTTTGCCTCACATCATCAGTACTTGCCTGGAAGTTCTTTCCAAATAAGTACTCCCTCAGGTCATACTTTTATATTGTGTTTTCCACTTTGCATTGCCCCAGTCATAACTACCCTTATGGTTTAAAGTTTGGGAATCAGATGATCCCATTCTGTGGCATTTCTCATTGGCATCAATCTTTGAGGGAAACCCTTAACTTCTTTGTGGAAGTAAATTCCAAACCCATAAGGAGGTGGAGAAATTAAGTCATTTACACAACCCTTTATTCCCTCTCCTATTGCAAGCAAACCCACCCCAATCTTGCTTGACCACTAATAATAAAAAGATTCTAGAATCCTGAATGATGTTATCTGAAGCTCTTTTTTTTCAGTAGAGAGAGATAATAAATAACAAGTTGTAGTTGTGAAGCTTAATAACTCATACATACATATATATGCCTATATATGTCTATGCTATGTACATTTATGACACTCACACACACACACACACATTCATTTCATGCTGACTGGCCATTTTCTTCTTCCTTCAATAAAAAAATTGCCAAATTTTAGGTCACCCAGAATGAAGACTGCACTTTCTAGCCTCCCAGCAAGGTGTGCCTGTTTGACCAGAAGAAAACACGTAAGAATTTTATTTTTATAATTGCAGAGTCTGGCTGCTTTCCTAATATGATAAAAAAATAAAAATTCATAGGAGAAAATACTGACAATACAGGAGAAAAGACTATGTTTAAATTACAAATAACAATCCAAGAAAATTATTTATCAATCATAATATAGAACAACAGGTCATTTTTCTTAATATCAGCAATCTCAACATGTCAATGATAAAATGGCCAACAACTCAATATGTAGGTGAAATAAACAGAAAGTTCACAGGAAAGGAAATACTAACAGATATGTAGGTGAAATAAACAGAAAGTTCACAGGAAAGGAAATACTAACAATGAGTTTCAAACCTATGAGAAAAAAGCCCAATCCCCTTTGCTCATAATAGAAGCACACATTTTAAAAGATTGGCAAAGGTAAAAGGACTCTGATATGCTTTGGCAGGGATTGGAAGAACTTTCCTCTCAAAATTGCTGTTGAAAAATAAAATGGTAGAATTTCTATGGATACAATTTTCAATATCTATTGAGACTATTAATGTTTATCTGCTTTTTAACCAGAAAATATATTTTATACCAATGTGATTTCATTGTTACAAAAATTTGTGCATGTCAGAAATTTTTGTAAGAGAAAAAGTTTAGAAATTTTATTATCAGGTGAATAATAGATTCTAGTACATGGTTAACAGGTGATTAATACATGCATACAATGTAGTACTAGACAGTATTAATAACTAAAAATATATCATTATTTCTAATACATATTAATTGAAAAAATCAAGTTATAGAATAAATGTATATTGTGCTATCAACTCTTAAAAATGAATATAAAATTATGTACATAAGAAATGACAATTTTTGTCCTTGGGAAGGTTATTAGTAAGGCTGAGGCATGGTGATAATAGGATAACTGCCTTTAGCTATATTCTTTTGTTCTTTTGAAAAAAAATGCCATGAACCAAAACTAACTATTCACCAGTCCTTTAATTTAAGCTTTTTCTTCCAGGTTAGTGCTACTCTCCTCCTGACTGACTATCAGTCTGGATCATCCTTTTGTGCTTCAGTCACTTGAATGGTCATTTAGATTACTAATGCTACAGAGAAAGAGAAAGTGAACGGGCATTTCTTAAGCACAGCATTATTTATTAAACTGAAGTGCTTTACAAAAGGGTTTTTTTTTGCACATTTAATCCTCATAACGGATGAGAAAACATGGAAACTGGGAGCTAGAAAAGGGTTGATATTTCTTGAATGCCTACAATGCCCTCAGCACTTTACTTACATACATTCTATTTTTTCAATTCCCGTCAGAGTCCAGAACCACACTTTACAAATGACATGCTTTAAGTACAACCTTATGAAAAATCTTGCCCGAAGTTAGCCAACTGAAATGTCAGTAGTATAATTTGAACCATGGTTTATTTATTAATAGAAACACACAGCAAAAAGTTTAGCAATAGCAATAACAATAAACAACAAAGACAACAAGGCAACAATGTCAGTCTTGGTACATGTCATTTTCAGCTTCAGCTTCTATCACTGTTAAATATCCTAATTGCCCTTAAAGGGGACAGGGTTACCTTGGTCACTTCCACACAATTTTTAATGCACTATGCAAATCATCACTTTAGAAATCAGAAGAAAATGTGATATATTTTTAAAAGAATGAACTTAATCCCTGTGAATTCCCGTTAGTTAGAACTTACTATTTTACATTTAAAACAGTATTACAGTTTATCTCAGATATTGTCCATTTTCACTTTCACCTTTTAAGGATCGTCTCTGTCTAGGTTTTTGGTGGGAAAATAAGGATATTTTATGATCATTCTAGAGTCAATACCACACTTCATCTATGTTTCTGAGGCCTGATAACAATCTGGGATTTCTGCATCACAATCTGCCTCCCACTGTGCTGATAACTGCATTAATGGCTAGAGAGGAGTGACTTTGGAGTAATTCATATTATTTTATTTCCTGTCCCTTTATTCTCTGCAGGACCACCACGGAGCCTTTACTTAATCTCTTTGTCTAAAAAAGGAATAATGAGTAAACTGATTAATGAGGCTTTGTATTAACAAATAAGACAATAAATTGCCTAGTCTAACGCCTGGTTCATAGTCTATGCTCAAAAAAAGTAATTATTATTAGTAATATATCACTCTTTGCCTAAATTTTGAATAGAAAAAGACATTTAAGTATATCAGTAATTGATTTACAAGTTAAAGTTTCTAATATTGAACTACTTTGACTACCAAGTTCCTAAAAAGTATTCCCTGGCCAAATGTTACTGTGGTTTATTAATGGGCCCAAGATCTATGGTATATCGCTAGCTTCTTATCACTTAACAGTTCAGTTCAGCCATTCCTGCTTTTCTTCTATCTCCAAAATTCTTTACATTTCAAATAAAGAGAAATTTGGTTGTATCTTTTTCCTTGTCTCTAAGCACTCCATTCCTAAGAACTAAACCTTCTAGATCCCCAAAATTACTAAGCGTTTCCCTGATCAAAGAGCCATCCCTAAAGGAAACTCTAGTATTAACTATTCTTGTGCATGTCTCCATGTATGTGTGCAGTTTTTATCCAGCTCCCCATGCTTTTATTATCCAATTTAAAAAAAAATTATTATTTTGTATAATCTCTGGCCAAGAAACTTAAACATGTAGCTATTGTTATTTTACCCTCACAAAAGCCATCTGGATTTCTTCTTGAATTAAGAAAATTTCCCTGAAGTATGAAGGTGCTAAACTCCTTTTCTAGAAATGGTGAAATGTGTTAAGCTGTGGATAAAGGACATCTGAATTATGTTCTTAGTAGGTACATGAACACAGCTATCCATGGGGAAGCATTAAAAAATGCTCATCTAGTGGCCCTCTTATTTTTTAAAGGACAAAAGAGTAAGAGCCAAATATGAAAATATTGTTTCTCAGTAGACAAAAAATAGCAATTGGTCAGATCAAGTCTATCTAACAAAAGGTGTTTTAGAGTGAATTTAAATATTCCAAAAATACTCACTCAAAATTAGAATTATTTTTATGTATTTTGATAATTTTTAAATAAAAATTTCCATTATTATACAGCTCCTACATGAGGAAATCTGGAGAGCTCATGAAAGTCAATTAAACACAGAAGACAAATTAAATTCCTATTCAGCTTTTCCTGCTACTTTAAAAAAGCAATGGAAAATGACAGGAATAATTTTACCTAGATAGTATGCAGAGCAGGTAATGATTTTGAGACATGGCTAAACCTTGAGATATCACCTGCTGATGAACGACCTGCTGATTTGTCCCAATTGTGAATCTATATGAAGGTGGTGGTGAAATTCTCTGAAGAATTATTACTTAAATATTTATGTATTTGCTATTTTTCAAGTCATTAAAATCCATTCAGAATAAAAATATATGATTGTGAATTGCAAAATATGTATTTTTGTTCTTTCATATTTCATATTCTAGTTTTTACTATAATTTCAATATAAAAACCAATGATCTGATTAGTAATCCAAGACAACTGTTAAGGAATTGTCAAGTGTACAAAAAAGTATACATTCTAAAAGAGTTTTAAAAATAGTTTTGGTAGATTTTTACTTTTAATTCAATTCCACTTTCTAAAATGTAAATGTTATCCTCAGAAATAACCAGTACATATACGTTTTTTTTTTCCTGCTAATCAGACAGTGAATCTGTGAGTGTAATTTTATGAAAAATGTTGGCATCTTTAGGTTTGATGCAATTCTATTGGCTAGAGCTTACTTTTCTCATTTATATATGCTGAAAATCTCAGTGTATAACCTTTCTTCACCCCTTGTTCCCTGTCCTGCTTTGATATCCAAAGTGAACGTGAATAGTCTGAATATCCTGCTCTGGATGAACATTCAAAGGACATTTCTTACTTCTATATGCAGTGGTTACTTACATCAGTTTCTAGTGTTCTGGTTGCCATCTTCTGCTCCTGCTCTCCAGCATATACCTAGAATTGAGACCAGAGACATGGGAGTATTTGCCAATGTGTCTAGTATCCGTATATCCCTTCATGTAGAGGCATACTATATGCTAGGCATAAGCGGAGTTATCAAATGGTGATGTTATCATTGTTTTCTACCAAGGCTTTTTAGGAAAAAGAAGTTCTGTTTGGTGAGGCATTCATTTAAAAATTTCAAAACCTTGCTCAGCCCCAAAGCACTATCAGAGTATATGCTTCATAAGACAGAAAATATTATTTTCACCGTGCATTGGATATGACGCTTTATATAAATTAAAATAACATCAGCAAGATTCATCTCATTAAACATTTAAACATTCAATATTTAGTCATTACAGTAATGGTTTATTGCTTGGCAAATACATTTCCATGGGTTATCTTATGATTAACTTATGATTAAATATCATAAACTTTACACTTCCTTCCCTGAGTTCAACTGGAACCTAGAAAATAGAGCTGCCAGAAATATCTATATTATGTTATTATTTATGATACATGTAATGATTCATATCTGCAGTGTCATTTAAAAAATGTCATCATTATACCATCACTTTTGGTAAGTAGTACATAGACTATATTTGTAGATATCAGTGAACTGCATTCCAAAATCAGTATATTCTGAGGGAGGGAACATTATTTATTTAACATTTTACTGCATTTGCACTTATCAGGGTCCTTGTGCAATTGTGGAGTATGATATCAGCAGACATAATTAATTTCAGCCTGAGTAAACCACTTGTAAACAGTTGTAGGGCAAGATTATAACAATGCATAGATTTTTCGAAATGGCTTATTTCACAAAGGGTCTCTGATCTTTATTTATGTGTTCATAAATTATAAAAGAAGGCAATATTTTTTTTTCTTAATGGATTACATGTATAACTATAAATAGAGAAGGAATTCTTGTTTTGGTTACATATGTTTGACAACTTTATTGCTAGTGAGAAAAGCAAAGGGCTAAGTATTCAGTAGATACTCATTTCACATATTTTATAATAATTCAATACCAATTTTAGAAGGAGGTCAAGATTTATTGATTCAAAACATCAATATAAGGAATTATGTCATAGCACTTTCTAAGAGTCTGAAAATACAGACTATTTTTGGCAGTTGAATTTGGCTCACCTAAGTTCTCTTTAGTATATGAATAGGAATCACTGAACAAATATTTGTTATTTAAAAGGAGAGCTTTCCATTATAAAACTAAATTTTTATTTTTAAAAAGTTAATCCTAATGTTAATACAGAGGTGACATAAGAGAGGGATGTTCAAAAGTAGACCTCATTCTAGATGATCAGTGAAAAAAATCTAACCTAGTCCAAAACCATTTATTATCAAACTTGATGGTTTGTCTACTACATGTATGTAGAAAGGTGGTATTTAGGACATATTAGAATTTATATATATATTTAATTATACTTCCCCATATTTAGAGCTGACACTTGATAAAAACAAGTCTCATGAAGTTTAAATCACACCACGTTAAAAATAAATGGTAAATCTAATTTCTGTGGAACTCTTCTCTAATAGTTGTCTCAAATTACAAAGTTTTGAACAGTATACTTTTAAGAACTGTTTTTATTAACATTATTTTTCTCTCTCGAGCCATAGAAAATTGTATATTCTCCTTGAAATAATGTGGCACAGTGCTAATATTAATAGTTAGGCAAAGTTCTATATATTTTAAGGATTGGTCAAAATGTGGATAAAATTGATATCTACAAAACTAAGTGATGGTTTAATAGAAAGTCATCATACCTCTGTTGGGAGAAAGGTTTCGTGGTCAGAACAGTATTATTTTTAGCAAATAATTTCAGATATGCTCCAAATACAGAGAAATGAATGATCCGAGTCCCAAATTCTAATTCCTAAACATACTTTAATTATTTAAACAGCTCTCACTAAAAACTCATGGTAGCAACTAGACATTAAAGAATCTCATTAACAGTTTTTAAGACAAACTTAGGTACATTATTATATGTCAGCATTTTTGTTTCTCTTAGGTAAATAACCGGGAAAGTGACTGCTGGGTCTCTTAGTAAGTTTATGTTTAACTTTATAGGAAACTACCCAACTGTTTACCAAAATGACCATACTATTTGCATTCCCATTTGCAATATATGTGAGTTCTATGTGTTTGTCAACACTACTTTAGCTGTACCCCATAAATTCTAATGTGTATTTTAGTTTTATTAAATTTAAAAAATCTATTTTTTTGCTAGGCATGGTGGCTTTCACCTATAATCCCAGCACTTTGGGAGGCCAAGGCAGGCAGATTGCCTGAGCTCAGGTGTTCGAGAGAAGCCTGGCCAACGTGGGATAACCCAACCCCTAATAAAAATATAAAAATTATCTGTGTGTGTGGTGGGACATGCCAGTAGTCCTGGCTACTTGGGAAGCTGAGGTGGAAGGATTGCTTGAGCCTGGGAGGTGGAGGCTGCAGTGAGCTGAGATTGCCCCACTGCATTCCAGTCTGGGTGATAGAGTGATACTCAGTCTCACAAAAAAAAATAAGTATATATATATATATATATATATATATATATATATATATATTTATATAATATGTGTAAATATATATTTATATATTTGTGTGTATATATATTCTATCTAAAAATATAGATACATGTGTAATATATATTATATATATTAATATACATGTGTATATATAATATACTCTAAAAATATAGATATATATGTGTAATATATATTATATATATATTAATTCTATTTTCTTGTGCTTTCTATTTCTTCCTATAAATTATTTAAAAGTAATTTTAAATTATTTTAAAATTACTGTTTGATTTTCGACTATGTGAGGGTTTTCCAAGTATTACTTTGGTATTGGCTTTTGATTTAACATCTTCATTGGCTGAGAACATACTTTGCATCATTAAATTCTTTTCACTTTGTTAAATTTTGTTGTATGAGCCAGATATGGTTTAGTTTGGTGACTATTTCATTCTTCCTGGAAAGACTGTATATTCCCTTGATTGGTAAATGGTATATAAATATTAAGTTGGTTGTGTTCCTTGACAGCATTTAAGTCTTCCATATGTTCACTGACTTTCTGTCCATTTATCAATAACCAGAGAAATGTTATCTAAAATTATAAATGTTTTGTATAAGTTTTATTAGTTTTTGCCTCATTAGTTTTGCCTCATTTGTTAGTTTTGATGCTCTGTTGTAAAGCCCATGCACATTTAAAAATGTCAGGAATTCTTGATAAATGCCCTCTCTTTCTATGTAGTATTTCTCAGTCTCAGATAATATTGTTTTGAAGTCCACTTTGATAATTACAGCTGTTTTCATGTGTGTTGGGTCAGTGTTTATATTTTATAGCTTTTTAAAATCCTTCTACTTTTACCACATACATATTTTGATATTTAAAGTAAATTTCTCATAAAGTACATAATTAGGGCCTTGTTTTTTAAATCCAATATGAAAAACAATCTTTTAATAAGTATACTTAGACTTTTTTCTTGGTGTAATTATTGATGGTTTGGTTAAAATGTGCCATCTTGCAAGCTGCTTTATATTTATTCAATTTCTTCTTTGATATTTTTCTTATTGTTTTTTGAAATTAGTTCAACATTATTATTCTATCTTATTTTCACTATTTGCTTTTTATTTGTGCCTCATTGAAAAAAATGTTGGTTTCCCAGAGTTTAAAATATATATATTTAATCTTTAGTAGAAATAAAATTATAATTTTCCTAAAAAAATACTTTAATAGACAATCTGAAACTCTTTTACAAAGCAAATTGTTTAAGCCAGAAACATTGAAAGTGATAATGGGACAAGCTCAATGCCTGATTCTAACATAGATGTTCCTCTCATCATTTGTCATTGTATTGAGATTCAGAAGTAAACCTGGCCCAAATGAGGTAGTTAGCATCCCTTTCCTGATGACTGTATATGCCATCTGACTTTTTACACATAAGACTTGGCTTGAAAGAGAGCAATTTAGTTGTCACAAGTTCTGCTATGACTCATGTTCACCTAGAAATTAACTTCTTTTACCTGGCTGTACCCTAATCATGAACTTGGGATCTGAAAACATTAGAATACTTTTGCTGGTCTGTTTTTAATGTGTGACCTGATTTTGCTTTCTGCTGCATTAGGTTACTGTGAATTTTGAATTACTGGCTCCAACATTTTGTTCTTCCACCCACTCTCACCCCGCAGATCCATTCAAGTCCTATGGAATCTGCAGAGCCTGTCACTAGTGATGGAGTGTAATTTCTTATTTTTTGACTTTGGGCTTAGCCCTGTGACTTGCTGTGTCCAATGAATGCTAACAGATGTGATACAAGCAGAGAACTGAAACATGCTTTTTATGCTTCTCCCATCACCACAACAAGAACCCACTATAGCTGGCCCACTAGCCCAATACAAATAAGAGATGTCAGTGAGGAGCAGACTGGTACTCAACCTGCAGGTTAGAGCCAAGACCAGCCTAAATCAACCTAAATCAGCCAGCTCCTAGCTGATCTCAGACATGTGAGTAAGAATAAATAATAATTTTAAGCCACTGAGTTTTGAGACAATTTTATGTAGCATTATCGTGACACTGGCTAACCAATACAGCAACTGGTATCTACAAATGTAGTGCTGCTCTAACCAAAACCTAAAATATGTTGAATTTGTTTGGGGACTAGGTGGTGGGGATGAGTAAATTTTTTTAAGGAGGCTAGAAAAATAAGGCTCATGCTGTGGAGTGGCTACATATTTTGGTGTAATTAATTTTTGGTAGTCTAGAAGGCACATAATTTTACCTAGTGAACTCCTAGAATTATGGAAGAAGATTTCAAAAAAATATATTGGAAGTATAGACTTGTAATTACTAGCTTCATTTGACAGATTATTCCCCTGCCCACCTCCCCCCAAAAAAGAAATAAGTTCAGAAATAAGCTTAGGTTGTAATTTAGAAAGACTGTAGAAAGCCAAAAAATTTTAGAAAAAAATTATTTTATTTTTTTCAATAAAAAATGTGGCCATTAAAACACAACCTTAGGAAATAGGTTAAATCCAGGGTATTACCAACAAAGAAAATGTCTCAGTGTCAAGATCAAATCAAGGGTGTGACTGTCACGCATTTTTAAAAGACCTCTCAAAGGATGATGATGGCACTCAAACGATCATTCAACTCAAACTGTAGCTAATTAGAAAGACTGTGGACATGATCTCACAGAAGTCTAAGGTGCTCAACATACACAAAGTTACCTATAGAGAAAGATGCATTTCTAGAAAATAAGTGATTTTTGTAATTTGTAGTTGATTGAAGTAAATCACATGGAGAAGCAAGAATATTTTTGAGTATACTGTATTAGCAAATGTGCTGTAGACTTTATAATCAATGTACACTTAGGCTACACTGAATTTGTAAAAAATTTTTTCTTTCTTTAATGATAAATTAACCTTAGTTTACTGTAACTTTTGACTTTATCAATTTTCTACTTTTTAATTTTTGACTCTTGTAATAACACTTATCTTAAAACACAAACACATTGTCCAGCTGTACAAAAATATTTCCTTTTTTATGTTTTTATTTTATTTTATTTTATTTTAAGACAGGGACTTACTCTATTGCCAGGATAGAATGCAGCGGTGTGATCACAAAACACTGCAAGATCCTGCTGTCTCATCCTCCTGAGTAAACAGGACTACAGGTGCATGCCGTTATGACTGGCAAATTTTTCAAATATTTATTTTGTAGAGATGGAGGTCTCCTATGTTGTCTAGGGTAGTCTTGAACTCTTGGCCTCAAATAATCCTCTAGATTCAGCCTCTCAAAATGTTAGGATTGCAGGCATGAGTCACTGAGCCTGGCCAAGTTTTCTCTATTTTTAACATTTTTTGAATAGTTTTTGTCAAAAACTAAGATACAAGTACACAAATTAGCGCAAAACTACACGGGATCAAGATTATCAATATCACTGTCTTCCATCCCACTTCTTGTATTACTGGAAGGTCTTCAGGGGAAATAACACTCACGGAGCTGTCATCTCTCTAATAACAATGCCTTCTTCTGGAATACCTCCTATAGGACCCACCTGAGGCTATTTCATAGTTAACATTTTTTTTAAATAAGTAGGAGCACACTTTAAAATAATGATAGAAAGAATAGTATAGTAAATACATAAACCAGTAACATAGTGTTATCATTATTAAATACTATGTATTGTATTAAGTATAATACTATGTGTTATACATTCATACAACTGGCAGCACAGTAAGTTTGTTTACAGGAGCATCACCACAAAGATGTGAGTAATGAATTGTGCTGAGCCATTATAATGACTATGGCTAAAACATCACGGAATTTTTTAGCTACATTATAATCTTATGGGACCACCATCATACTTGCAGTCTGTCATTGACCTAAATGTCACTATAAATTGCATGACATGGTATGAATTTGAATTGTATATCAGCTTTAGGATAGTGATCCCAGTTGGTTAGGAAAGAAAGGTAACTGCTAAGGTGTGGTTTTAATTCTGACAGTTTACTCAGTCTTACCAGAAAGAATCAACACAGATACATTAGTATTTATTTATTCTCTGTGGTAAGTACACAGAAATTGCTTATAATTTTTCTATACATTTCTGTATATTTGCTATATTTCATAGATAAAATTGCAAATTCAAGCAAAAGAAAAATGTAGTCCTGTTTAAGATAAAATCCTTTAAATCATCAGAAGTCAATTTACGTATAACAATTGCTGAACATGCAAATAGAGAGTACTTCAATGTGAAGACTCAAAGAGACAAAAATTAATTTCATTCATATGAGGATAATTTTTAAATATTCTATTTCCAAATCATCTAGCATCTAGGAAAAATATTGAACTTGGAGCCAGAAGACTGGACTAAAACATTAGCTCTATCATTTATTAAGCAAAAGAATTTTAATTCACTTCTATAAATCTACCTCGGTATTCTCACCAAATAAGGAAATGAATTATAATTTTGAAGATCCTTTTAGATCAAGTAATTAAATAACTATCTACCCTGTGTTGTTATTGTCTGTTTCCCATAGAAATAAAATATATAATTAACTGCAAATAACAAATATATCCAATGTATGCTAGGTTTAAGTTTCTTCAGATTTATTTAGTCTCCCAATTAATAAGGCTATAAAAACAGAGTGAAAGAATACAGAATCTGGAGACAGGCAAGTTTGGGCTAAAATCCCACTTTCCAATTTGCCCACTTTCTACTTTTTTTTTTTTTATGACTAAGCATTTATTCTTTACTCTTGTATATGGTAGTGATATCAGACTTGTTAGGATTGTGGAAAGAATTTAAAACATTAAATGTAGCATACCTATCATCATTAGCCTTTGTTTTGCTGTAAATATCATCTTCAAATAGGGTGATACTTTGGAGAAACACATTTTTCCTTAACTGGCTATATTTTCACCAAATTACTTAATTTTGCTAGGCAGTTCCTTTAAATGTCCAGTTTAGGCTCCAGTAGTGATTGAACTTAGCAAAGCTTTTTCAGACACCTAGAATATATCTAATGCTATGTGCTAAGCAAAGATATAAAAGTAAGCTCTATACTATACTGTAAGAGTATGCTCCAGTCTTGAACCTTTTAAAAATTTATCAGGACTAGAAGCAACTAGTGTGCATGGCTCTCATTAAGAGGAATGGAAAGGGTGAGTAACACACCACCTTCAACTGAAACATCCAGCTACTCACAGTGGGACTAATGAAACAACCCATGGAGAATGGAGAAAAGCAAGGCAGTATCATGACTCACCTGGGAATGACATGTCGCCAAGGGAACTTCTCCCAGCCAGGCAAGTGGCGAGTGAATGTTTGACCCCAGGAACCTATGCCTCTCCCACCCACTCCACCAGTCTGATACACAAGGCTACTTACAGTCTTGTCAGAGCAGCCGCTCAGACATGCACAGAAACCCAGGAGCCTTAGATACTGAAGATACTGAAGCTCTCTGAGATTCCCAGCAAGCACAGCTGCAACTCTGGCAAAGTAGGATGTTAGACTCTTGTACATACCCCTAGGAAAGAGGCTGAATCTACAGGGCTGAGCAGTGATAACCTGTAGGCCCCACTTCCACAACACCTCACAGGATGAGACCCACTAGCGTGGAATTTCAGCCAGCCAATGGTAATAATGTTGCACCTCCCTGAATGGAGCTCCTGGAGTGAGGAGCAGGGCACCATCTTTGCTGTTTGGGCAACTTAGCCTTTTCAGTGTTTGGGCTTTGATGAATCTGAGCTGACTGGGGGTGGAGGCAGTCCCTGAGCACAGCACAGCTGCCCTGGGAAGACGTAGCCATACTGCTTTGTAAAGTGAGTCACCAATCCCATTCCTCCTCACTGGGCAGGACCTCCACCCTCGCTAGTGCACTCCAGCAATAGAGATTGGAAACTTCCTTGGTACAGAGCTCCCAGGAGAGGGGCTGGCTGCCATCTTTGCTGTTTGATTGACTTAACTATGCTGGTGCCTTCGGGCTTTCAAGTGTCTGAAGTGACCAGGTGCTGAAGCAGACCCCCAGCACAGCACAGCTGCTGTACAAAAATGTGGCCAGATTACTTTTCTAATTGGGTCCCCGATCCCATTCCTCCTCACTGGGCAGAACCTCCCCACTGTGATTTCCAGCCATGCCTTACAGGTGCATTAGGGACGGCAGCAGGTCCATACCTCCCTGGGGTGGAGCTCCCACTAGGAGGGCCAGGCTGCCATCTTTGCTGTTTTGCAGATTTCACTAGTGATGCCCCCAGGTACTAGAAAATTTAAGGTGACTAGGGGCTGGAGCAAGCCCACAATGTATTGCAGCAGCCTTTGGAAAAGTGGCCAGACTATTACATGGGTGCCTGTTCCCATATCTCCTCACTGGGCAGGTCCTTCATACCTGGGCCTCCAGCCACCTCTCGCCAGAGCTATCCAGTCAATAGCAACTTGGCAACTGCCTAGATGTAGCCTCTGGGGGAAATTGAAAGCATCTTTGTCACTGCTTCTACAATGGAACTGCCCTTGCTACCCTCAGAATAATGAAGGAACAAAGACTCTTAGTGCTATATCCATATTCCAACAAGCTGCAGTCCACCCAAGGAGAGGGGGCCAATCCATCTTCCATAAGGGTCCCACCCCGTCACCCCACTGCTTGTCACCACACAAGAAATCCCTGGCTTGGGCTCTCAGCACAGACCCTCCATCCTGGGCTAATTTCACTGAGTGATTGCTGACTTAAATCTCTCTGGGGTGGAGCACTGAGGAGATAAGCGAAAACCCCATGGCCACTGTGACTACTAAGGGCCCTTCTTTTGCTGCCTCCAAGTTGGGGAAGGAACATAAACACTGAGATTGCTACAGAACTACAGTGGGCAGCCCAGGAGTGCCAAGCTGTGATCTACAGCCAGCATTCAATGGGGAGAGGAACCCACACTTACAGAGCATTGAGAGGGAACATAGCCACAACAGTAAGGAAACACAGGGGCGCCACACAACTGAGCAAGAGTCTACCCACTGCCCAATAAACCAAAGCGCCCACCTACTGGATCATAGCCCAAAGCTTCAACACCAAAAATACCTCATTAACATACCCCTCTCTAAAACCAGAGACAAGAAGTCAGCTGCAAATAAAGACCCCACACAAAGCCACATCCCAGTGAAAACATCCAGAAGATAAGTTTATTGAGTGTACTCAATCTATACTGCAATTAAAGGAACACCCGCACACAGAGATGAGAAAGAAGCAATGAGAAAACTCCAGTAACCCAAAAGACCAGAGTATCATATGTCCTCCAAATGAGTACACCAGTTCTCCAATAAGAGTTCTTAACTCTCTCCAGGCTGAACTGGCTGGAATGACAGAAATACAATTAAGAATATTAATAAAAGTGAAGATCATCGAGATTCAGGAGGATGGCAAAACCCAATCCAAGCAAAAAAAAAAAAAAAAAAAAAAAAAAAAAAAAAAAAAAAAAAAAAAAAAAAAAAAAAAAAAAAAGAATCACAATAAAGTGATACAGTAACTGAAGTATGAAATAGCTAGTATAAGAAAGAATCTAATGGGTCTGATACGGCTAAATAACAAAATATAAGAATTTCACAATACAATCACAAGTATTAATAGCAGAATAAATCAAGCTAAGGAAAGAATCTTAGAATTCAAACTCGAAGACTGGTTATATGAAATATGATAGACAAAAATAAAGAAAAAAGAATTTAAATGAACAATGCCTCTAAGAATTATGGGATTATATAAAGAGGCCAATCACTGGCATCCCCGAAAGGGAGGAAGAGAAAGCAAACAACTTGGAAAATGTATTTCAGGATCTCATCCACAAAAACAGCCCTAACTTTGCTCAAGACCAACAGCCAAATTCAGGGAATAAGAGAATGCCTACAAGATTCTACAAAAGAAAATCATCCCAAGATGCATAATCATCAGATTTTCCAAGGTTAAAATGAAAGAAAAAATGTGAAAGTCAGCTGGAGAGAAAAGGCATATCACCTAAAAAGGGAACAACATCAGGGTAACAGCTGACCTCTCAGCCGAAACCATACAAATCAGAGGAGATTGGGGGTCTATATTCAACATTCTTAAGAAAAAATCTTCAACAAAGAATTTCATATCCAACTACACTAAGCTTCCTAAGCAAAGGAGAAATAAGTTACTTTTCAGATAAGCAAATGTTGAGGGAGTTTGTTATCATCAGACCTGCCTTATGAGAGATCTAGAAAGGAGCACTAGGCTGGGTGCCATGACTCATGCCTGTAATCTCAAAATTTTGGAAAGCTGAGGTGGGTGGAACACTTGAGGTCAGGAGTTTGAGACCAGCCTGGCAAACATGGCAAAACCCTGTCTCTATTATAAATACAAAAATTAGCTGAGCATAATGGTTGCACCTGTAGTCCCAGCTACATAGGAGGCTGAGGCATGAGAGTCTCATAAACCTGGGAGGCAGAGGTTGCAGTGAGCTGCGATTACATCCCTGCACTCCAGTTTGGGCAACAGAATGAGACAGGAAAGACTGCTACCAGCCAATACAAAAGCACACTTAAACACGTAAACCAGTGTTACTGTAATACAAAGCAACTACACAAACAAGCCAACATGGTAACCAGCTAACAACACAATGACAGGATCAAATCCCCACATACCAATATTAAACTTTAATGTAAATGGGCTAAATGCCCCACTTAAAATGAAGAGTGGCAAGCTAGATAAACAAGCAAGATCCAATGATATGCTGTCTTTAATAGACCTATCTCACATGTAATGACATCAATAGGATCAAAATAGAGAGATGGAGGAAAATCTACCAAGCAAATGGAAAACAAGTAGGGGTTATAATCCTAATTTTGGACAAAACAGATCTTAAACCAACAAAGATGAAAAAAAAAAAAAAGAAGCACATTACATAATGATAAAGGGTTTAATACAACAGGAAACCTAACTATCCTAAACATATATGTACTCAACATAGGAGTAGCCAACTTAATAGCAAGTCCTTAGAGACTTATGAAGAGAACTACACATAATAATATGAGGAGACTTTAACACTCTACTGACAGTTAAGATAGATCATCAAGGCAGAAAGTTAACAAAGTTCAGTACCTGAACTCAACATTGGACCAAATAGATCTAACAGACCTCTATAGACCTCCTCACGACCAAACAATACAATATACATTATTTTCATTACCACATGACACATACTCTGAAATTGACCACATAATTGGACATAAAACAAACCTCAGCAAATGCAAAAAACCAAAATCATACTAAACACACTTTTGGACCAAAGTGCAATAAAAATAGAAGTCAAGACAAAACCTGGAAGAGACACAACTAAAAAAGAAAACTTCAGACCAATATCCATGATGAACATTCATGTGAAAATCCTCAATAAAATACTGGCAAACCAAATGCAACAGCACATCAAGCTTATCCATCACAATCAAGTTGGCTGCACCCTGGGGATGCAAGGCTGGTTCAACACATGGAAATCTATAAACGTAATCCATCACATAAACAGAAACAAAGACAAAAACCACATGATTATCTCAATAGATGCAGAGAAGGCCTTTGACAAAATTCAACACCCTTTCTGCTACAAATTCTCAATAAACTAGGTATCAATGGAGCGTATCTTGAAATAATAACAGCCGTTTATAAAAAACCCACAGCCAATATCATACTGAATAGGCAAATACTGGAAGCATTCCCTTTGAAAACTGCCACAAGACAAGGATGCCCTCTCTCACCAGTCCTATTCAGTGTAATAATGGAAGTTCTGTCCAGGACGATCAGCAAAAAAAAAGAAATAAAGGGTATTCAATTAGGAAAGGAGGAAGTAAAATTGTCTCTATTTGCAGACAACATGGTTGTGTATTTAGAAGACCCCATTGTCCCAGTGTGAAATCTCCTGAAACTGATAAGCAACCTCAGCAAAGTCTCAGGATACAAAATCAATGTGCAAAAATTACAAGCAATCCTATACACCAATAACAGACTTAAAGAGAGCCAAATCAAGAAAAAACTGCCATTCACAATTGCTAAAAAGAGAAGAAAA